AATACAACTGCAAGGGCAGGGCTGGTCATAAAGTGCAAAGCTACACATTTTGGCCTGCATCAATAGGAGTCTAGTGTCTAGATCCAGGGAAGTCATGCTACTCCTCTATTCTGCCTTGGTTAGACGAAACTTGGAATATTGTGTCCAATTCTGGGCACCACATCTGAAGAGAGATATTGACAAGCTGGAATGTGTCCTGAGGAGGGTGACTAAAATGATCAGGGGTCTGAAGAACAAGCCCTATGAGGAGCGGCTTAAAGAGCTGGGCATATTTAGCCTGAAGAAGAGAAGGCTGAGAGGAGACATGATAGCCATGTATAAATATGTGAGGGGAAGTCATAGAGAGGAGGGAGCAAATGGCTTCAAACTACAATGGCTTCAAACTACAAGAAAGGAGATTCCATTTGAACATTAGGAAGAACTTCCTGACTGTGAGAGCTGTTCAGCAGTGGAACTCTCTGCCCCGGAGTGTGGTGGAGGCTCCTTCTTTGGAAGCTTTTAAACAAAGGCTGGATGGCCATCTGTCGGTGGTGCTTTGAATGCAATTTCCCTACTTCTTGGCTGGGGGTTGGACTGGATGGCCCACGAGGTATCTTCCAACTCTATGATTCTATGATTATTCTATGATTCTATGAAATAATCACATCCATGAAATTCAGAACCTCAGGTGTGTAAGGATGGCTGCAATACAATGATTGATTTGAGAACTGTTCTGACCACCCAGGAGTTATGACCCATCATGTCACATGCTACAGAGGAGAAGACAACCCGTTACTAATGAAAACCTTTTCCTTGAAGGTAACAGATGACTGAACAAAAGTAATGGAAGGGAGGGTGGAGAGGAAATACCAGGAAGGGAAAGCACTGGTTTGTTGGTGTATTTTTAATTAAAATATGTTATTATTATTTTTTTAAAAAATCAAAAATTGGAGTACGGTAGCGCTACCTTCTGCAGTTCTTGAGATCTTAATCACTAGCAAGGAAAACAAAATGTGATCTCCAAGTTAGTCAGAAGCATGGATCACAGGCCAAAGCTGATTGTCTCTAAGGATTCTTTTAGATTCTAAGCAAAATGAGCAACATCTCAGTGGGTGGGTTGGGGGTCTAGCTGGAATCCTACTGAGTCTACCAAAGGGATAAACTTACTACATCCTGTGCTAGCCACCGGTAGTTTGTCAAATTTGCTCCTGCAACACCAGCTAAAGCTCCAGGAGTTCTGCTTTAAAACATAGTAATCCAGAGCATCCTCTTTGCTCCCAAGGTGAACCACACTTCCACAAGGTGGGTTCAACGTCTCTCTGTGTGTGCATGTTAATTGAGTCATTTTTTGACATACGGTTAAACTGAACTTTAGCTTTGTACTCAGTCCTGCTGAGAGACTGCAAACTGGAGTATGAAAGAGGAAACAAGTTGACAAAGCATGTCATTTGAATTATTAAGTCTTCTACAGAGCTCAATAGTATGAGAAGGCATTTGACAATTTAAACTGAAATATTATGCTTGCAGTAGTAGAAAAAAATGAATGTGGGACAAAACTTCAAACTAAAAGCGATCTATGATAGACAATTGTGCAAAAATATGACTAAATGGGGAATTAGCCAACATTTGCAAAACAGAAAAAGGAAAAAGACATGGTTTCACCACTTCTTTTTATTCCAACGTTGAAAATACTACTAAGAGAAATGAGACAAAAAGAAGAGATTGAATATTTTGAAGATTTAAAAAATCCATACAATCGAGAACACGGATTAATCGTTGTATTAGAAGGTCTGTTGGAAATCATAATTTCTCTTATGAGATACATGGAATAATATGGAAAAGTGGCAGACTTCAGAGTCAAAAGGAAAAATGTTGATGAAGAATTTAACAAAAGAAGAAGTCGTTCCATTGGAAAAGCTATCTGGATGCCTAGTGGTAAAAAAGAGAAATATTTAGGAAGAAATGTATCAAATAGAAATTCAACTTTATTCCAAGATAATGGTGAAAAGATAGGAAAAGAAATAAAATAAGAATTACAGAACTGGGTTGTTGTAGGTTTTTCTGGGCTATATGGCCATGTTCTAGAGGCATTTTCTCCTGACGTTTCGCCTGCATCTACCAGTATTAAATAACTCAAAAATCACAACAGCAAAACAACAGAGAGTAAACAATCAGGCACATCAAATCACTCTCAACAAAAGATCCCCCCAGGCACTTCCAAGCCATTAAATGCTAATCAAGGTGGTCAGCTGAAGCATTCACACCTAGCTCCAGCAGACAAAAGTCCTTTGTCCCACCCTGGTAATTCCACAGATATATAAACCCATTTTCCTACTTCCAACAGACCTCACTACCTCTGGGATGCTTGCCATAGATGCAGGCGAAACATCCGGAGAAAATGCCTCTAGAACATGGCCATATAGCCCGGAAAAACCTACAACAACCCAGTGATTCTGACAAGAAATTACAGAACTGTAAAAGTCTTAATCTCTATTAGGAAGAATATCTGCCATAAAAATGAAAGTTTTGCCAAAAATGCTATTACTTTTCCAAGCAATTCCAATCTTGATAAATGTTCTTCTTTTTTAAAAATAAAATGGCAAAATGATTTGTCAACATTTCTATGGCAAGGGAAAAAAAAAAACCCCAAAGAATATATTTGTGATCTCCCAGAGGATAGAAAAGAGAGATGGCCTTGGGCAATTATATTTTACATCTTGTTCTTTAATCTAGTTGAAGAACTGAATTTCACTGGAAAATAACAGAGTTGAAGGCCATGACCTCAGATTTGGATGGCACAGTTGTTTGTGGTATGATAAAGTGACAGCAAATAAAGACTTCAATAACTATGTTGTAAGGAAAAATCTTTTAAGAATTTGGAATACATTCAAAACAAAACTAGGTAATAAAATACCTCTTTGGATTTCTACTCAGTGCATTTTACAAAACACAACAAATGTAAAATGGACAACATGCAGAGACTTCATAGCGTTTGGAAAGGATCAACATAGATTTAAAACAACACAAGAATTGTTGGAAGCTTCTGAACAGAGGCTGGATGGCCATCTGTCAGGGGTGCTTTGAATGCAATTTTCCTGCTTCTTGGCAGGGGGTTGGACTGGTTGGCCCATGAGGTCTCTTCCAACTCTATGATTCTATGAATGGAATTCAGTTGGTGCAAACATAAACAACTTTATGAAAGATGCAAAATGGATCAAACTGTTTGAAATTCAAGAAAGCAAAACTGAAATCTATTCAATTTGAAATCTATGCACAGATAATGTCCACTGAATTGGAAAAATGGAAACTAGAGTTGGATCAGATGAGACAATGTATGATTCAATGTACTCAAAATATTGAGCTGGAGAGATGGGAGAAAATGTGTAAAAGAATCAAAAGATATTCTTTGATCTGAGAGAATTCTTATAAAATGATATATAGATGGTGCATGGCTCCAGTCAAACTGGTGAGGATGTACAAGGACACTAAAAATTATGTTGAAAATGTACTTTTTATTATATGTTATAGTCATGCATCAAAGCAAAAATAAATTGATACAAAATTGATTACAAAAGATATTTTAAATTGGAATATACCTAGATTCAACTTTATTTCTACTGGAACTTCCAAATGAAAAAACAAAAACAACGAATTTCAACTTATTACATTATATGACTATTGCAACAAGACTACTTTATGCACAAACATGGAAATCTAAAGAGCCAGCCCTGAAAGAAAATTGGATTACAAAAGACCCAGAAGTGGTAGACATGGATAAGTCATTTTGTTTGAGAAAGGAGAAATCTATTAATAGTTTTTTTTAAAAAGGGATGGGAACAGGTTGGTTCATCAGGTGCTCTGCTATGGCTGACTTCTCTGGTTGAAGTAGTCTGCAGTGCCTTTCATGTTCCTTGATTCGTGTTTGGGCAATGCTGCATTTGGTGGTCCCTATGTAGACTTGTCCACAGCTGCATGGTGTCGGTAGACTCCTGCAGAAGTGAGGGGATCCCTCTTGTCCTTTGCTGAATGTAGCATTTGTTGGATTTTCTTGGTGGGTCTGTAGATAGTTTGTATGTTGTGTTTCCTCATCAGCTTCCCTATGCAGTCATCCCTTGATGTATAGCAAGAACACTTTTCCTCTGGGTGGATCTTAGTCTTTATTCTCATGGCTTGTTCTCAGTCTTGCAGCTCTTCTGATGTCTGAGGTGGAGTATCCATTGGCCTGTAGAGCCCAGTTGAGGTGGTTCAGTTCATCTTGAAGGAGCCTTGGCAGACTGTGCAAAAAGAATATGCAAACCCTACAAAAGCATGGCAAATGTTCCATGCTTTTGCAATCATATACGTATAATGAGACACACAAACACAAACAAAAGCAGAGGCTTCTCCTTTTCATTTCCGGTGATTGGAGGCAGTGCTTAATGTCTGGTTCTGTGGAGGTGCTTTCCTCCATTTTTCAGACAGAGGAGCCTGCGTTGTCATCTTCTGATTGTGGCTGGCAAGATTCCTTGGAGTGTCTCTTTGCCTTTTCCCACTGAATTAGTACCTATTTATTCACTCACATCACATTTCCAAATTGCTAGGTTGACAGGAACTGGAGCTGACAAATGAGAGTTCATCTTGTCTTGCAGACCTGAAGACATCTTGTCTTCAGGTCAGCAGTTCAGCCAACCTTCAGTTCAGCAGCACAAGGGTTTTAACCCATCACACCATTCTCATATTATCTTTCATCATTTTCTTTGCTGCTGAGAAATGCCAGACACCAGATTTCATTCCCATGCCATGACTGCCTCTTCCTAGAACTAAATAACAATGTGGTATAGGACCTGGCTATCTAGACATGGTCACAGTATAAACCGCACAGTATGAAAATCCCATTATCATGCCGTACCACATCTGAAACTTTCAGGCAGTCATCTAAACCTGCAAGTGAAGTAGTCAACAGGACTTACTCCTGGGTGAATGTCGTTGTATGAAAATCCCTATAATGTGATCTTGCTCACACTACTTTTCTCTCTTCGCAGTTCCAGTTCCTCCAAAATCTGTTACTTCCTTGATGATGAACAAAGATGGCTTCCTCGGCGGCATGTCCGTGAACACAGGCGAAGTGTTTTGTTCGGTGCCTGGGCGGCTGTCCTTGCTCAGTTCAACTTCTAAATACAAAGTAACGGTCGGAGAAGTGCAGAGGCGCCTTTCTCCTCCAGAATGTTTGAATGCCTCACTACTTGGAGGAGTACTTAGAAGGTAAGGCCCTTGGAGTAGGCAGATCTGCAATTAGTGATGGGGTTTAGAGGGATTGTTTATGGGGAAAGCTTTTAAAGTAAGCAGTGGTACTCATGTTTGTCAGACACCTTGACACTGGAATCGGCTTCCAAGCATTGTGGATCTCTCATCATGGACTGGCCTTCTAGAACATATCTCACCACTTGGTAAACAAGGGTGCTAGTGTTCACTCTAGTTAGTTCAACATCATGGGGTTTATTTTCAAAGTATTATACAACTTTGGATTCGTGTATCTGAAAGTTTCCACCTTTAATGGGTCTGATGGTTGAGAGCATATTAGAAACCTTTCTCGGGTGACCCAACTTTGGAAATAACAAGAGCAGCTGAACAAAGACTTTTAGGATGTTTTGTTGTAGCACCATATTTTTTTTGCTCAACGGTGAGAAATTGTTTCTTAGAGATGTTAATTTGCTTTTAAATATTGTTAATGCTATGCTATTTTTTTTAATTTAGAGGACAAGTTATTATTATTTTGAAACAAATAATTAAACACAGCAATGATTTCTAATATTTGAACTGGTGTACAAAATTGTTGACATGAGAGCCAGCGCTGTACAGTGATTTGAGCATTGGAGTCTAGGACACCAGCGTTTGGATCCCTGCAGACCAAAAGGGTGACCTAGGATAAGGTCTCACACTCTCTCAGAGGTCCTATCTACATTGATCATTTAATGCAGTTCAAAGCTAGTTTTGAATTGCAGTGGGCATACAACAAATTTCCACAAAAGTATGGAAAAGAAAGCATGCATCAGTGTTCTGTCAATTGTGTAATCACCATTTGGGCTCAAACTGATTCCAAGATCTCCTACGGAATCATCTGCACAGTGAAACCACTTTCTTCAATACTACTTTGGAACTGCATTAAATGGTCAGTGTAGATGGCAAGAGCAACCCTCCCACTACTGAAAATCCAAGAAAGCATAGGGATAGTTTCATGTTAGTGTTGCCATAAGTTGCAACCCCCCCCCCCCGCCATAAAGTCATTAATCAACCACCACCACAACAATTACTGTTTTGTATGATCCACATGCACTATATTTGAGCCTAAGTCCCTCCAACTCTTAACCAAATGGATATTGATAATAGAGGGTTGTTTTAAGGGATTATTATAAGAATTAATAAGAAAATATACTTGCAGATCTTTAAAATACTAAACACATTGTATTGTGTTTTCCTTTATTGTCATCCATATCAGTTTATGTAGGTAATTGGATTTCATAGAGACCGCAAGGGACATCTAGTCCACCCCCTGTCATTTGTGCTACTGCTCTGACTCTTCAGGAACAGATGCGTTTTTTACTCTGATGATCTGGTGAACCAATACATCACTAGCCTTACAAAAAGCACTGGAAAAAGTAATCTGGTGATAATGACATATTTAGCTCCCTCAAACATTTCAGAATAATCTTAGCAACCATATAATAAGAGGCTGGACTCTTTTCTAGATCAGTAACTGGTTAAATAACAGGAAGCAAACAATAGAAAGGGGATAGCTCTACAATGGAAGAATGTAAAGAGTGGGTTCACCCAGGGAACTGTGGTTTCTTTTCGTGTCAGGAGCGACTTGAGAAACTGCAAGTCGCTTCTGGTGTGAGAGAATTGGCTGTCTGCAAGGACGTTGCCCAGGGGACACCTGGATGTTTTTGATGTTTTACCATCCTTGTGGGAGGCTTCCCTCATGTCCCTGCATGAGGAGCTGGAGCTGATAGAGGGAGCTCATCTGCGCTCTCTCCGGAACTTTGGTGGAACCAGATCTTTGATTTGGAATTTAGGAGTCATCAGTTAAATTGCCAATTATACAGATCACATTGAAATATTCCTGGTGGTGAAAACTGGACTTCATGGCAACAATATGGCAATTGTAATATTTGTTTACAACATGTAAAGCAAAGCATATTGAAGGAAAATTCCCACTGATATACTTGAGCAGGTGATGAATGACCAAGAACAAGATCTTGACCATTGTAGTGGGCAACTCTTTGAAAACAGCAAAAGATTGTGTAACATCTATGATAAAGGCAAAACCAAGGCAGGCGTCATTAGGAAAGGCACCAAAATCATCTGGATAATTGTTATTGATAATACTGGATATTTTGTACACCTCTGTTTTCCATACTTGGAAAATTATGTCACAGACCTGGGAGATATGTTTCAAATGCAACCAAAATAACCAGGGGATTACAACAAATAATACTCAGGATTTTACAACATTTGGGACTTTTTAATTTAGGGGGACAAAAAGTCAGGTAGAGGATATGCCATGATAATGATGGATACAAGATTATGCATGATACAGAGAAATAGAATAGGATAATGTGTCCCATCCTTCGAGAAGCCAAGATAATCTCATATAGCTGAATGGTGGGAGATATGGAATAGATTCAAGAATGTATTTCTTCGCTAGACACATTATTAAACTGTGGAAATCTTCACCACCACCAAATAAGAACAATCACAATAATATATTTATTTTAACTTGCCTCTCTCCACAAATCAACAACAGATAGCAATACAAAACATCACATCAGATAAAAACACATAACAGCATTTAAAGGCACATATATCTGTTAAACACACATAGGATCAGTTTAAAACATATAAAATGAATACATATTCAAATTGGTTTAAAATTCATAATTTAAGATTCGTAATTTATAATAATCTGGATAGGCTTGCTGGAAGAGATTGGTCTGTAATGCTGTTTTAAATTCAGACAGCGTATTCAGCTGTCAAATCTCTTCTGGCAGATCATTCCACAATCTAGGGGTGGCTGAAGAAAACGGCCTCTGGGTGACCGTTGCCAGCCTAGTCCTGACTGACTGGAGTAAACATCCCCCAGAAGACCTAAGTGTACGGGGTGGATTATACGGGAGGAGGCAATCCCGCAGGTAACTTGGACCCAAACCATGTAGGGCTTTAAAGGTAATAACCAACACTTTGTACTTTACCTGGAAACGAATTGGCAGCCAGTGGAGTGATTGACATATAGGTGTAATATCATCATTCCAAGGTGTACTAGTGACCAATCTGGCTGCCATGTTTTGAACTAATATGATGATGTGATGGCCATCATTTTAGTAGGCTTTAAAGGGAGCAGGATATAGATACATCCATGGAAAATATTAATAAGGCAGCTAAGGACTTATTCTAAAATATGCAATGAGATAATGTAAGCATCTTCGAAACTAAATGAGAGAGCAAAGTTGATGATGTAAGCTTAAATAGAGTAAGTGTATTTGAGGAAGTATTATCTATCACACTAGAGTTGCATTGGTTCTCAACCTGTGGGTCCCCAGGCGTTTTGGCCTACAACTCCGAGAAATCCCAGCCAGTTCACCAGCGGTTAGGATTTCTGGGAGTTGAAGGCCAAAACATCTGGGGACCCATATGGTTGAGAATCTCTGCCTAGAACTTAGACCAGTGTTTCTCAACCTTCCTAATGCCGCGACCCCTTAATACAGTTCCTCATGTTGTGGTAACCCCCAAACATAAAATTATTTTCATTGCTACTTCATAATTTGCTACCGGGCACAATTCAAAGTGCTGGCTTTAGCCTATAAAGCCCTAAACGGTTCTGGCCCAACTTACATATTTAAAAGCATCTCCCCTTATGAACCACCCAGGGCCTTAACTTATAGTTCACATACAATCAAAGAGCATTCTGAACTCCACCAATGAATTGAACCAAACTTGGCACACAGAACTCCCATGACCAAGAGAAAATACTGGAAGGATTGACCTTGAGTTTGGGAGTTGTAGTTCACCTACATCCAGAGAGCACTGTAGACTCAAACAATGATGGATCTGGACCAAACTTGGCATGAATCCTCAATATGCCCAAATGTGAACACTGGTGGAGTTTGGGGAAAATAGACCTTGACATTTGGGAATTGTAGTTGCTGGGATTTATAGTTCACCTACAATTAAAGACCATTCTGAATCCCACCAAGGATAGAATCGGGCCAAACTTCCCACACAGAACCCCATGACCCACAGAAAATACTGTGTTTTTGATGGTGTTTGGTGACCCCTCTGATACCCCCTCGCAACCTCCCTAGGGGTCCCGACCCCCAGGTTGAGAAACACTAGTTTAGAGAGTAGGCAAAGAGCATAATCCATCTGAGATCAGGCTGCTGAATTCTGGGGTTTGCAATTTAGTGAGACCCAGGAACTCTCTGGATGAGCATTTTAAAGGCCTCTTCCTAAACTACAACCACAAGAGTCAACAGGATACAGCCACAAGATTTCAAACAGCATGCATATTCTTTACGTACTTCTAAGCTCTAGTGTGATATCAGTTAGTTCACAAAAACGTATGCTATCAGCTTCCTTCTTTCACTTAGCCTCTTAGATATTCCAAGATCCATTTGTGCATGGATATTCTAGACTATGGCCATGTCCTTGACTTCTTATCCTCTCATAGTCATAATAGATACATATAGCCTTAGAGGCTATATCTCTCAGAGTACCAGCATCTTGTAACTGATATTTAGTTTTAGGTAATTTAATATTGGTAACATGATCAGCATGCCTGAGAATCATATTTGAAGCCTTCCCCTAGGTATTAGGAGTGCCCACTGTGTAGATGGAGGGCTGGACTTGTTTAGGCTTTTGTCTGATCTGGCAGAACTGTTCTTCTGAGTCTCAAGCCTCAGTTCAGTAGGAAAGTCTATCTTTGACTGAGGTACCTTGAGGTCCATGAGGGAAGAACTGTTTCCTGAGCAGGTCACTTTTTTGCCTTTCTGTTAGACTTCTGGAGTGTCTGAGTCTGATTTGTTTTTGGATGTTCAGTCACTACTTTCAGTATGATGAAAGTCCAGGGCCCCTTCCACACAGCTGTATAAAATCCACATTGAACCAGATTATATCGCAGTGTGGACTTAGATAATCCAATTCAAAGCAGATATTGTGGATTATCTGCCTTGATATTCTGGGTTATATAGCGATGTGGAAGGGTCCCGGTGAGCAGAGTAAGAGATTGCTTTGAAGAAGGAAGTTAATGCAGATGTTGGAGTCTTAATGTTAGGCCTTCAGGATTTGAAAACTGGATAAAAATAAATATATATATCACTGGGTCTACACTGCCACATAATATAGTTTGAACAGCATTATATGTCAGTACAGATCTAGCCCAAGTGAAAGAGAGAATATGGAGCCATTTGCCATTTTCAGGGATTTCTCTTGTTACAGAAGGCAAGGTCCACCCAGCTGATAAACAGTCTAGACAGACCTTCTTCAGTGGTGGTTCCTGACTCCAAAAAGAGTCGCCTGAGCTCAATGTTGGGGTCATGAAAAGTTTGGGAACAGGAAAAGGTTTCTGAATGCCATTTACACAAACTTCTTAGCATCGAGGAACAGTGTTTTCAGCAGACTCTGCAGAAAATGCTTCAGTTGTACTCCACAAAAAGGAGAAGCAGCCTGTTTAGCAAGCCCTGCAAATGCTGGTTTATTATCAGTAAATGTCTGATTTAGTTTATAGTCCCATGTTACGTATAAAAATTCTCAGATGCAAAGAGTTGTGAATGTAAATTTTTTAAAGAAGATCCCCATCTAGAATGTGCACCAGTTTCTGTGAGGATATAGCTGCGTTCTTTGATTTAACAAGGAAGTAAGAAAATCCTGACAAGTGAAATTTCCTTTTATTACTGCAAATTGGCTGTTAGCAACCAACCACAGCCTTTCCCCAGTAGCTCAGTTACCTCAAGCTTTCATTCATTAGGGGCAGGATGTAGCGAGCAATTGTAATTGGAGCTCTTTCCATTTTTGGTTCAAAGATGCCTCCAAAAGATATCTGAGATGCATTTGATACAGGCAAATATAAACTGTTTAAAGTCAGACCATTTTTTTCCTGCATAAATCTCCACTTATTAAGAGACAATATGGGGTTGTGCTCTGGGTGTTGGACTAGGACCCTGAACAGGGTTCGAATCCTCACTTGGTCACAGCAAGTCACATTCTCTCAACCTCAGAGAAGGGCAAAACCAAGCAAATCCTGCCAAGAAGACCCCATGATAGTCTCACCTTAGGCTGGATCTACACTGCCCTATATCTTCGGATCTGATCCCATATTATATTTTTATCTGAGATTATCTGGCAGTGAAGACTCATATAGTCCAGTTCAAAGTAGATAATCTGGGATCAGATCCTGGGATATAGGGCAGTATAGATCCAGTCTCACTGTAAGTCGGAAAGCACCTGAAAGAAAGCAGGCAGCAAACTATCACAGGGAGGCTCTTTGCAGAGGCCAAGCACACTCTCATCTCCCTGAACTCCTACAAGGCACCCAGAGCCCTTTTCAGCTCCAACTAGTCTTTCCACCTCCCAAAATCGCCCTCGTCCATTCTTTCCTTGGGACGATTCCTTGAGCTTTGAACCAGGGCCTTTGTTTGTTCTTTCTGTTGCAGAGCCAAATCGAAAAATGGGGGCAGATCGTTGCGAGAGAGGCTAGAAAAAATTGGTTTGAATTTACCAGCCGGCAGGCGCAAAGCGGCAAATGTCACTTTACTCACCTCCTTGGTGGAAGGTAAGCAGAATCTCTACCAGTTTGGATTTTTTACCCCACTTTTAACCTCCCTTTTCCCAATCTTCTGGCAGATTCAGCAATTTATCAGACTTGGAGGGACAAATCTCTCTCTTATCCTAATTGGGGCTTTCTGATGCTGAGCAGAATTCTGGGAAATGTAGTTTAGGGCAGGGCCTTTTGAATTCTCTGCCATAGGGCTCCTCGCATCCCCAAACTATATTTCCCAGAATTCTGTGCTCCCTCAGTCTCTTTCCCAGCTCACTCAGCTCGTCCCACCCTGCTTATTTCTTCTCTTTATGGTGAGAGGCAGCCTATCTATTCTTAACTTAAAGAGGAATCACAGCCTTTTTGGCTTTGCCTTGCTTGCGCTGAAAATGAAACTGACTTTGTACCATTACAGAATTCAAATGAAAATGTATTGGGTGAATTTTGATTCTTAAGTTTTTATGTGGGCACCCCCCCCCCATATACGCACTCTCTCTGTGTTTCTTAATATCTGTTCATATCTATAAAACTTATGAATAAGATATGAGTTATGATTTGAAAATGAAGATTTGCACACTCCTAGTTGCTATGTTGGCCATGCAACATAGCAAAGCCCAAAATCCACAAAGCAGTGGTGCCTTTCTTGGGCCCACCTAATAATAATAAGCTTTATTTGTACCCCGCCACCATCTCCCCAATGGGGACTCAAGGCGGCTTACATAAGGCCAAGCCCAACAACACAATACAATAAATAAAATCAAAACACAAACAACAACATGAAAAATTACATAAAACATAAGATTATTGTCTTAAGTATTATCTTTGTACCAGAAGAAAAAGTGCTTGAGAAGAAATGACAATAGGCAGGCCACAATTTATGTTTGTTTGAGATTAATAGCGGTTGTCTGCACTGAGGCCTAAGAATGCAGTCTAAATGTATTACTAGCAAATATTGTCGATTCAAATCAGTGCAATTTATTTCCAGTTATGTATGATACATTGAGATATAAAAATGTAATCCCAAACCAAGTGAAGCATTTCATTTGTGGACTGTAATCTGTAGAGAATTTTAAAATTAATAGACAGACTCGACTGTATTTGGGAATCTGCCTTTAATTAATTTTCTTACAGCTTATTTAACTTTTCCTCTGTGCAAACCAACCATTTTACTTTCAAGGGTTAAAGTTTAGCCTGTCTTCTAGGAATTAGTACCTGCTTCAGTACTAGTAATGCCCTCTGCGCCTTCCCCTCCCCTTTACTGCCTATAGCAAAAATGTTTCATTCATCACTGTCTAGATTCACGACAGGTAGGGAGTTTGAAGTCTTTCTCGTACTTTTTGTAAGAGAACTAAGTATCCATGGTGAAGGCAACTTTCTGTCCCACTTCTCTTCCGGAATAATGTATCATTGGATTTATCTTTATATATAAAATCTCAGCCTGTGTATATTTGTGCTCTCAAAACTCAAAAAGCAGTCAGTTGATTGACTTGAAATTTTGACACAACGTTGCATTCCAATACGCATGTGTTTTTATAGTAAAATGAATTTTTGACACAATGTTGCATTCGAACAGAAGCGTGTATTTAGAGTAAAACTAGCTGTCCAAAGTGGAATCTGTGATGCCCAAAGCAACCACTCACAGCCTAACTTTCATTTTACCTCAGCAGTATAAGAAATGAAAACTGAGCTCTAGTACCCAATCACCGCACAGCTTTCCTTTTACCTCAGCGGTAAAAGAAATAACAACCTATCACAGAGCAGCTTTCATTTCATCACAGCAGTAGAAGAAATAACTACCAATCACAGCACTGCTTTCCTTTTTTCACAGCAGTATAAGAAATAACAACCAATCATAGAGAAGTTGTCATTTCACCTCAGCAGTATAAGTAATGAAAGTTGTGCTGTGATTGCTTGCTATTGGCATACCACTCATTTTGACCGACATGACGTTCGGGTACTAATGACTTCAGTTTCCAATATGCCTTGTGTTTGCTATGACTATCAATAAAGCACAGGGGAAATCTTTGCAAGTGTGCTTCACTCATGGGCACTTACATGTCGCATGTTCTAGAGTCCGTAAACTGTCAGATCTTTATGTTTATGCAGAAAATTGACAAATCAAAAATGTAGACAACCCACTAGCTTTACAATAGAAATGATTTCTGTAAAAAACCAAATTTTCTTTCCTTTTCTTTCATTCCACATAGACACAGCAACACAAAACAGGGCATTGAATTGAATGATGTGTGTTTCTCGGTGAATCTATGTTCACAACAGGCATGTAGCCGGGGGGGGGGGGGGGCTTGAGGGCTCACCCCCCCCCCGAAATTCTGATGGTGGTCCGCAAGAAGGTCTTACTGGTGCATTATTTAAACTGCTATGTTTATTCATATCATGATCTGATCACTATACTCAATATATCCCATATGCATGGGGGTATTGGGGTAATGATACAAAAGGTTTGCTAGGGTAGACCCTTTTCACTCAGACTCAGCCCCCCCCCCCATCAAACTCAGCCCCCTTCCCGAATCAAAATCCTGGCTACGGGCCTGGTTCACAACAATACTTTTATTTACTATCTCATTCATTTCATGTCAGACTGAGCCACAGCAAAGCATGGTAGAGTTTAGCTAGTTAGGAATAAATATGGGATGGCTTTTGTTTATTCCATTCTTGAGTTTAAACTACAGTTTGATGGAAGCAGAGAATATGAAGGCTTAGAATGACATAACAGTTATTTATTCTAATAATGTTTTCTAAGCCCAGCCTGGGACCTCAGACTATCTCCTCTACTGTCAAAAGTGATCCTACTGCAAGTGACTCTTGATACTGAACCTTGGATGTTACTAGCTTTAAGAGATAAGTGGCCTCCTGGTTATGGAATGCTCTCTCCATCTTTGTTAGATACCATGACATGATAATGTTAAGTTTTAAACTTCCAAGAGGGCGTGTTTCTGGTGTGCTCTTACAAAATAATCTCCACTAACAGCAACTTTCTCTGAGCAAGTGTGCCTAGGATTATAGTCTTCATGATACATTTCAGAGGAATTGGAATAAAGTACTTCCTTATTTTTATTTTACAGTAATAGCAAAGGGTGCACACTGGGATGAATTTATTATTCACACAGTGCCAGTAATGTTGGCAGGGTTTTGCAGTGTAACATAGCCGACGAGGATATGTTTGGTTCAGATTACGGTCTAAAACATGACTATATTATAGCATCATTTAGGCCTGGGTAACAACGGAAAAATTTGTTTCTAAAATCGATTCGTTTTTTGGGGGTTTTTGCGTTTCGTTATTTAAAATAATTACAAAATTTTCCTTTTAAAAAGTTCGATATTTACGAAATTTCGTAAATGTGAAAAAAATTACAAAACATTAACGAATCGATTTCCGAAACAATAACGAATCGATTCGTTAATGGCGGACACGACCGCGAAATACGCTAAAAAACCTCCAAAAACTTCTGAAGCTTCCCTCTCCCTCTGTTGTTGACTGTTGGTGTGATATTATAATTTTTTTTCACTAATTAAACAAAAAACAACCATAAAACTTGCCCCAGACATGCGGAAATAATAACGAAACGACCTCAAAACAATAACAAAACGAATGCAATAACGAAATACGAAGCATTTACAAAACTATTTAAAAATTCGTTTTTTTAAAAAATTGCTCCAGAATGGTTCGTTATCATTTTTTAATTAAAAAATTAATGAATTATTAACGAATTACGAATTAACGAAACGAAACCGCCCAGCCCTAGCATCATTACTCTGGGAGAAAAGGAAGAGGTAAAAGAAACAGAAAGAGGGGAAAGACAGCAGATGCCGGGCTGGGGCTGGGGTAGGGGTGGGATGTGGGTGGGGGGACATGAACTTGGGCTTCATTGAATGGGTCTGTGTGCTGGCTTGCTCACCTCATTTGCATTAGCACTGCTAGTGGGGTGAAAATTATTTATTCTATAATAGATGTAACAGTGGAACTACATTCAATTTGCATACCTAATAATAATAATAATAATAATAATAATAATAATAATAATAATAACTAATGACTTTGGCCTGCACTTAAACACAATCGGTGCTGACAAAATTACCATCTGCCAGCTGCAGAAGGCTACCTTACTAGGATCTGCACACATTATTCTCTGATACATCACACAGTCCTAGACACTTGGCTGTTGATCCAATTCAACAGCCAGCAGAGTGTCTCCTGTGGAGTCATCTTGTTGTGTTTCAAATAATAATAATAAGACATCTGTCATCTGCAAAAGGCCACCCTACTCAGCTCTGCACGCATTATTCGCTAATACAGCACACAGTCCTAGACACCTGGGAAGTGTCCGACATGTGATTGAATACAAAAGCCAGCATACACAGCATTGACCAAACATGAATCAAGGAACATGAAAGGCACTGAATACTGAATCAACCTGAGAAGTAAGCCCTAGCAGAGCACCTGATGAACCAATCTAGACACAGCATATTATTTGAGAACACAGAAATGCTGGACCACTCTCACAACCACCATGTCAGACTACACAGAGAAGTCACTGAAATCCACAAGCATGCGGACGATTTCAACAAAAAGGATGAAACAATGAAAACGAACAAAATCTGGCTACTAGTATTAAAACATTCTAAAATCAGGACAGTAAATAAAGAACAACACTCAAAAAGCAGAGGAATTCCAGACAAGAATAAATCAGGGCCAGATAATGCCTCCCAACAAAGGATCCCCCAGGCAGCAACCAGCTAGGCTTTGAAGCTGCAATGCCATTCACTGCTTATCAAGGTGACCAATTACAATGTTTACACTTGCTTCAAGTAGACAAGAGTTCTTTCTCCCATCCTGGACATTCCACAGATATATAAACCCCATTTGTCTAGTTTCCAACAGACCCTTCAACCTCTGAGGATGCCTGGCATAAATGTGGGTGAAACGTCAGGAGAGAATGCTTCTGGAACATGGCTATACAGCTCAGAAAACTCACAGCAACCCAAAGCGGTCTGGTTTGCTGTGTACTAATCTTTTTGTGTATCAAATAATAATAAGCCCCATTCTGGTTTTTTGCTGGCTTTCACATAGGTCAGAGTTACGCTTCTACATGGACCTGATCTATGAAATCTCAGGGTAGCTTTGAAATTACTTGCAAAGAATGAGGAAGAAAAATGCAGACAGAAAATATGGAAAGAAACTTAATGCTTGCTTGATACAGTTCAGGATTTAGCTTCTGTGGTCTGGGTTCAATGCTTACCACTTCAGATTTTTTTTTAAAAAAACAATTGATGTGTTCAGTTCATTAGTACCGGAACAGAAGAAGATTCACAGTGTTTAAACTGCTTTTTGTTTTTGTTTTGGCAAAGATGAAGTCTGGTTCAATTAAGACTCAGCCTCCTTTAGTAGATCTCAGAAGTGGAAAACACTGAATCTCTTGAGTCCCTCTGAAATTACTCTGAGCAAAATAAGGCCAAGAGGCAGTGTGCAAACTCCATGGCTAAAAAAACCCTGTGTACTAGTTACATTTAAAGGTGCATTCAAACATATATACCTGTGGTGCCTTAGTCCAGGATAACTATATTTTTATTTATCGTGTCATCAGCAACCATACCACTGGATTACATTTCTAACAGAACAAAACAAACAAACAGATTAAAAAAACCCACAGATTTTGCAAACTTGGTAGTTGATTAAATGTCCTTTGACCAGTATCTGGCCACTTGGAGTGCCTCTGGTGTTGCCGCAAGAAGGTCCTCCATTGTGCATGTGGCAGGGCTCAGGGTGCATTGCAGCAGGTGGTCAGTGGTTTGTTCTTCTCCGCACCCGCATGCCGAGGATTCCACCCGGTAGCCCCATTTCTTAAGATTGGCTCTGCATCTCGTGGTGCCAGAGCGCAGTCTGTTCAGCGCCTTCCAAGTCGCCCAGTCTTCTGTGTGCCCAGGGGGGAGTCTCTCATCTGGTATCACCCACGATTGAGGTGCTGGGTTTGAGCCTGCCACTTTTGGACTCTCGCTTGCTGGGTGTTCCAGCGAGTGTCTCTGTAGATCTTAGAAAACTATGTCTTGATTTAAGTCGTTGACGTGCTGGCTGATACCCAAACAGGGAATGAGATGGAGATGTCCTTTATTTGAAATCTTTCTATAGTTATCCTGGAGAGACATCTCCAGGATAACTATAGAAAGGTTTCAAATAAAGGACAGCTCAGCAAAGCCTGGACTCACCATCTTAGATGAGGAAGAAGAGAGAGGGGAGAAGAGAGGGGGAAGTCTTCTATGTGCTTGCAAATTCACATGGTGTAGTTACTTGAAGGCATCTCCACAATGGGTGACCAAGACTCCATCTGCATTGCCATATAATGCAGTTTGCATTTATGATAGTGTAGATGCAGCCTCAGCAAATGAAGAATGTTAGAGACAACATATTTGGGAAGAGGCATGTAAGAATCCCATACAGTCCAAAGCCCCATTGCTCTGATGGGTGAAAGAGGGTCAAAATTGGTGAAAGAGATCATCATCATCATCATCATCATCATCTTTATTTATATTCAGCCCTATCTCTACAAGGGGACTCAGAGCAGATACAAGCATTTATACAAACACAGGCAAACATTCAATGCCTTTGAAAACAATGAAACACAAACACAAAGACAAAGGCTTCCCCTTTCATCTCCAGCTCTGGAGGTGGTGCTCATCTCTGGCTCTGGGGGCGGTTTGTTGTTTATTCATTTAGTCACTTCCGACTCTTTGTGATCTCATGGACCAACCCACACCAGAGCTCCCTGTCAGCCATCACCACCCCCAGCTCCTTCAGAGTCAAGCCAGTCACTTCAAGGGTACTATCCATCCATCTTGCCCTTGGTCAGGCCCTCTTCCTTTCCCCTTCCATTTTCCCCAGCATCATTGTCTTCTCTAAGCTTTCCCGTCTTCTCATGATGTGGCCAAAGTACTTCATCTTTGCCTCGAATATCCTTCCCCTCAATGAGCAGTTGGGCTTTATTTCCTAAAGTATGGACTGGTTGGATCTTCTGGCAGTCCAAGGCACTCTCAGAACTTTCCTCCAACACCACAGTTCAAAAGCATCCATCTTCTTTCGCTCAGTTTTCCTTATGGTCCAGCTTTCACATGCGTAGGTTACTACGGGCAATACCATTGCTTTAACTATGCGGATCTTCATTGCCAGTGTGATGTCTCTACTCTTCACTATCTTATCGAGATTGGTCATTGCTCTCCTCCCAAGAAGTAAACATCTTCTGATTTACTGGGGGAGGTGCTCATCTCCATTTCCAAACTGAGGAGTTTGTGTTGTCCATAGACACCTCCTGGTCATGTGGCAGGCATAACTTCATGGGGCGCCATTTTACCTTCCCGCCAAGGCAGTACCTTTTGATCTACGCACACTTGAACTGCCAGGTTGGCATGAACTGGGGCTGACAGCGGGAACTCACCTTGCCTTGCGAATTCGAGTTGTCAACCTTTAGGTCAGGAAGTTCAGCAGCTCAATGGTTTAACCTGTTCCGTTACAACGGGTTAGAGAGAATGCTTGGCTGGGAAGCATTTTCCTGCAGTCAGTGTACTCCAGAATACCATCTTTCCTTTCATTAGCTCGAAGTCTATATTGTTGTCTTGCTAAAAAGAGAGGCTGCAACATCTGTGTTATTTTTTTAATTTAAGTTCAGCAAGTTATGCCCTCCAGCACAGGATCGCATCTTCTAGCATTCTCAATAAACCAGGGCATTTGGAAACTGCAATCCAACAACCAGGGGGTGGGGAAGTTGCAAGATTCTCATCTCTATTCCATTCTAATTATTTACTAAAGAATTGAATAAGGATCACGGGAAAAGTTTTAGTCCGTCTGCTCATAGCACACACTGTCTGCCAATATGCTGCTTTCTAGTGTGTACGTGTGTGTTGGATGCCATTTCTACTAGGACCAAATTAGATCTCGGAAACAAAGACTGTATTGTTTTCTGTGTGATGCTTAGACCTACCAAGAGCATAGGAGGAAAGCGCAGCCTTTCTGCAAATGGCAGAATAACATTGTAGTTAATGAGATCTTTTGTAGGCACAGCAGTTGGCGTCCCCCCATCCTGAGAAGTTGGTTGTTGGCCTGACAGATCTAAGGATCAGACTATTAATCTATCTCAATAAGTACTAATGCTGTCTTAAATGGATTGGCGACTGTGTTAATCTACTTGACCTGTAGATGATCAAAGCTGCTTGTCTTTTCCTAGGAGAAGCTGTACATTTAGCCCGGGATTTTGGATACATCTGTGAAACTGAGTTTCCAGCCAAAGCTGTTTCTGAGTACCTGAACAGACAGCATACGGACCCCACTGATCTCCACTCCAGGAAGAATATGCTACTTGCCACAAAGTGAGTAGCTAGAGCATTATTATTGTCTTGAAAATGCTAATCCTTTGCTTTGCTGCACTAGAAACCTTCATTTGTGAGAAGTATAAAACTAAAATTAAATTAAAAATTGTCTATGCTGGCAGCTTTTTTGCTCTGCAGATTTCATTCCTTGGTATACATTTTAGGGTTGACAGATTCGCTTGTATTTAGTTGAGATCTGATGATGATTTTTGAAGAAACTGATTACTTTTGTGCATTGTTTTCATTTAAAGAGCTCAGAGTGGCTTATAACTGATTTCTAGGAAGGTAACATGTGAGAGTCAGGGCCCGTCCAGACAGGCTCTATATCCCAGGAGTTGTTCCCAGATTTTCTGCTTTAATCTGGATTATATGAGTCCACACTGTCAGAAAATATGGGATTATATATCTGTGAAACTGATGGATTGTGGCGCAGCTGGCTGAGTGTCAGCTGCATTAAAGATCACTCTGACCAAAAGCCCACTCCGGGTTGGAGTGAGCTTCCAACCAGTTGTGTAGCCTGTTGTCGACCTTTGCAACCCGAAAGACAGTTGTATCTGTCAAGTAGGAAAATTAGGTACCACCTTGTGTGGGGAGGCTAAATTAACTAATTTATGAGGCCATAAAAAAGACTCCAGCAAAGTACTCCAGCAAAAGCATGCGGGGAATGCAGAAGTACTTAATCAGTGTCGCAGATGCACGATGAAAGCGACGGCCAGAAAAAGTTAAATAGCCTCTGTGTATGTCTGTATACATTGTATGTCAAATTGGCATTGAATGTTTGCCATATATGTGTACACTGTAATCCGCCCTGAGTCCCCTGCGGGGTGAGAAGGGCAGAATAGAAAAGCTGTAAATAAATAAATAAATTATATGAGTCCACACTGCCAGATAATGCCAGATCCTCAGGCTAGATACACACTGTGATATAATCCAGATTATCAAAGCAGATAATCCAGATTATCTGCTTTGAATGGGATTATATAAGTCTCTTGCCACTTTTCTCCTTTGTCATCACCCAACTTCAGTTTCTGCAAACTGAGTTCAAAGTGCAAAAGTTGTTTGCACTCAGTCCTTATCTACACTGCAATTATAATGTAGATTGAACTGCATTATATGATTAGTGTACACCTATATAATGCAGTGCTTCGAGTCGCCTGAGGGCTGAGAAGAGCGGTATATAAATAAAGTAAATAAATAAATAAATAAATAAATAAATAAATAAAAGTATTAAGATGGATTATATGAGTCTATACTGACTCGACTATATAAAGCAGTTTAATCTGCATTATAATAGCAGTGTAGATGGGGCCTCAGTTAATTCAGGAGTGAGTGGGGAGAGAAAGTGAGGGATTGATATCATTATCTAACCCTTCACAGAAGGCTGAAGCAAAAGTGAACTGCTACAGACACTTCAAACATGTATGTTAGTCCACATTAATATTTTTTTTGTAATTTTGATCAAATTCTGATTTGTGCCACATATGTAATCTGGAGAGATATAGCAGTCATATATAGCTAATTGGTTGTGTGTTGTGTGTTGTACAACTTTGCTGTTTTGTCTTTTTGTACCTGGAAAATCCATCCAATCTGAGCTGTAGGTTGCTTGCTTCTTTTGCTACTACAGGCCAGTAACAGTTGTGGCCATGGTTATGATTGTAACTAAAGTGATTGTGTCAAGCACAGCTTTGGTTTTGTCAGGTCCCAGGACCGAAAGTCTCCAGTCTGCCTAAAGCTGTAGCAGTGTGAGGACTGTTTTCTAATGTGCCTTTTGCATAACACTTGTGGGATGGAACAATTACACTTCCCCATCTGGCTTACAGTTTGGATGATAGTAGGAGAGACCCATCATCTTGAGCAGAAGTGGGATCGCTCAACCTAGGAAGATACTGTCCTCTCCCCGCCCCCTTGAACCATGAGTTGGTGGTTGGAAGGAGCACAAAATTGGTCCCCTCTACAATTCCTGGTTCCATATATCCTGAACCCAAGTATAATCAAATCCACATGGATAGAGGGAATATGGACAAGATGAATGCCAGGCATATGTGTTGTGTGTAAATCTCTAACTCCTTGGGCACTGTAGCATGCCCAAAGTCCTCTAAGCCAGTGGTTCTTAACCTGTGAGTCCCCAAGTGTTTTGGCTTCCAACTCCCAGAAATCCTAACAGCTGGTAAACTGACTGGGATTTCTGGGAGTTGTAGGCCAACACTTGAGGACCCACAGGTTGAGAACCACTGCTCTAGGCAACCATCGTGTACGCCCAGAGATGTCATGGTCTTCATGGGATTAATATCATCATGGAGACCAAAAATGTGTCTCTTGAGCATAAGTGAACAAATTGGCCTTGTACTGCACTATGTCTCTTTATTCTCAGGATAACATACAACTTGAGGCAAGTGTATTGCCTGGATGCAACACTGGTAAATGCCATTCAGATAGAAATTGTACATTGAGATTAGGTAAAGCTAAAGGTTTTTCCCTTTAAGTCCAGTTGTCTCCAACTCTGGGAGTTGGTGCTCATCTCCATTTCTAAGCCGAAGAGCTGGCATTGTCCGCAGACACCTCCAAGGTCATGTGGCCGGCAAGACTGCATGGAGCGCCGTTACCTTCCCGCCGGAGTGATACCTAGTGATCTACTCACATTTGCATGTTTTCGAACTGCTAGGTTGGCAGAAGCTGGGGCTGACAGCGGAAGCTCACACCACTCCCCAGATTCGAACCTGCGACCTTTAGGTCAACAAGCTCAGCAGCTCAGCAGTTTAACCCACTGCGCTACCAGGGGCTCCCCACATTGTGATTACTCCATCACAAAACCAAATTGCTCTTCTTACACAAAAGGGAGCCTTTCACACAACACTACTATAGCATCACAATTCCAATTTCACTCGTTTGGCAACATCCTTAGGATTTACTGTTTGTGGATGGGTATTTAAAAGGCCCATTCAGACACCCATTCAGAATGTTATGTCAAAGCGCTACTCTAACGCCTCACCAAATGACAAGTCCTAGGACCCCATATGGCATAGGGTATAGTAATGGTAGCAAGAGTGAGCCCACAAAGTACATTGTGCAGTTGAATGAAATGATGTAACCTGACCACCCATCTTTCCTTGGGAGGGATGGCCTTGGGCTTAACTCCCTGTTGTGTGAATGTCTGAATTGATTTCTGCAGGACTCCTGGCTATCCACCCAGGATGACAAAAATACATTCCACCCCATGCTTCCCAATGTTTACTGTTAATCATCTATAGACTTGACATTTTTACAGCAGCAGCTGGGGGGCAGAAGGGGCTGGTAGTATGTGTGTGTATGTGTGTAGGGGGCGGGAGAGAATATTAAATCAGCTGCTATATTTAGATGTCTTTCTCTAGCTCATTGAAACTTTTACAATAGCTTTTCTATTTGTTTGATTTATGCCCCCCTTTGGCTCCCGTGCCATACTGTTTGGTGTTTTATGGCAGGCCTAGGCCTGTGGTCGCGCCGGCTGCCTGTTTCCCCACACGTTCCATCTTGCAGGCAACTCCCAAACAGATCTCATTTATTTCATGCCCTAGGATGTGGCTTGCTCTGTTGACAGCGTAATTTAAAGAAATATATGGATGGCTGAAAAATCATTTGCTCAAATTTGTCCAGATGTTTTTTAGACGTGATTGGAATTTGATTGCCCCTTTCCTCAAGGTCAAAAGATATTAATGTCCCAGAACTTTAATTGCTCACAGACCCCGCCTTTGCTCTTTGGAAACAGAAAACGTTTGACGTATCATCGTATTGGCTGAAAAATGTAGCTTCAACTTTTCCCTTCTTCCTATTTTGGAAAGGCAGGAAGGCACACAGTAATACTATTTCATTCAGAGCATCACAGTTAGGCCATTCTAATTGTGATGTGGTTTTGTATCTAATTCTATAGTGAAATAACACTTTGTGAACTCATTTTGTGGACTCATTTTGTCCTGTGCTAAAGATGGATAGCGCAATCAAGAGCGTTGCTCTGGATTTCTAAGCATACAGAATTCACAGGCTTTAGGGAATCATTTTACACTGGATAACTCAGTGATCTTTCCTCCCAGTTTATAGATTATATCAATTCGGGTACTTTAATCAGTTGCCTCTGCTGAATCCATATTGCTCAGCTGTAGTGCACATAACAAATGCCTATAGTTTGCCCTGCTTGTTTGTCCCTTGGCTGCTACACCTGTTCCACTGAGGTCCCTAGAAATAAAGAAGAAGCAATTGGAGCTTTGTTACTCAGTGGAATATTAATCAACAAAAGAGCTGGCATTCAGATTAATTTTCTAGTGTAACCAAAGAGTGAAAGGCATCTGGGGAAACATCTACTGTATCTGCCTATTAACACTGGGACATAAACACTAAGCTTGGTATAGGGCTGCACACTGTTCTGAGATTTCAGTGCCTGGTTCGCCCCCTTTTTTATTGCTGAAGTTTCCATAATAAAGGTACCACATATTCCGGCATATAAGACAACTGGGCATATAAAATGACCCCCAACTTTTCCAATTAAAATATAGAGTTTGGGATATATTCGCCATATAAGACTACCCCTCTTTCAACGCACCCCAATTTTTTTTAAAAGCATCAGATTTGATTTCATTATGGTAATTTTCCTATTACTGTACCTCCTTCTCTGCCTCTCAGATCTCGCACATGTGCACCTGCACAGCTTCACTGCAATCTTCAGGAGCGAGATCTAAGAGGCAGAGGAGGAGGTCAGACAGGTTTAAGAGGTGTGTTTTTCTGGGCCCAGCACCACTCTTTTTTTCCATACCCCGGGTGCCCTGGACGCCTGCAGCTTGCTCCGCCCTTCACTTACACCTTCCTGGTGAGGTGCCCCTTCACCTCATCATCGAGACTGCATTAAGTCCACGAATGCTGGTGAATGGATTTTCTTCTACCGTACTTGTTCAGCGTCGCCCTTAATGCTTTCATATAGTTGCTGCATATGGCAGGGACATGGCCATTGCCATTTTTGAGCTCCCCCCACCATA